CATTAAAAAGAACAACAATCGGCTAATCATTCCAGAAACCCAGTAACTTTTGTGAAGGTTGTCGTCGCTTGTGTTGTGAAGTCTGCAGTGGACACCCACCTGGGCACCGGATACAAAGAATACGTAAGGCTGGTCTCAGACATTACGAATCCAGCGAGCTAGTGGAACTTCGCAACACAGGCGACGTCGGCCTTCATAAATTCTCTCTCACGAAAAGAGTGATAACGCTTTGGAATAATCTACCGCCCTCCGTCATAAGCTCTGATTCTTCTAAAGGAGCAAAGTCAGAAGGTCGTAATTTATTAAGGATGGTTTAGGAACAGAAACTGTACCATGATCGAACTTGGATGGCACAGAGGCGATATTTTCTCTAAACTGGCATTATGTTGTACCAGTGTCGAGTGTTGTTATGTTCAGTTTATTTAAATTGTTTTTTTTTGTGGATTTCCATTAACTGCCCTATCATCGAATCTGGGAGTCGGATCTCGGCAAAGTTGGCGGACCTACTAAGCTGGTATCCGGAGTTCTTATTTCGTGCACCTCTGAGCTTGCAGTGTTGGCGGCCACTGCCCTTCTGCGCCGATTATCCACTCCCCCTCCCCCTCAGAAACTTCATTGGTGTACATAGTTTTGTTTTTGATATCGGAGATCTGCTTTTTTCTTGAATCTGTCATAATAGCAGATAGTTCCCTAGAATGGTCGATTATAGTTGTATTTTTTTAATTGCCCCTTATTACAAATATCATCTGCATATTATACTACCAGTCCGCACACTACGAAATTTACGAAATTGTTTGCAAGCTTTACGAAATCATTGCGAGGATGAAGTAGTGGAGTTCAGAATGACAAAATAGCTTGCACTTGAGACAACTGGGTGCAACTTTTACAAAATCGGTTCCAACGTTTACGCAACTGGTTGCAACCTTCCCGAAACTGACTCCTTAACTTACGAACTGGGGTCGAAACTGCGTGATTTCACTTCACTGAGCTTTTTTTCACCCCTAACTTCCCACGTTTCATTTTTGCTGGAAGCTGTAGCAATTAGCGTTTCTTTTTGACTGTTACCTACTGTTTCGGGCGTAGTTCGCCTTGCGCTTATGTCGGGAAACCGGTTCAAGACATTATACGTGTGAGTGCTGATAAGCTATACAGTGCGTACCAAAAGTATGTGGACACCCTAGGAATCGATTCTCAGGGGTCAGCTAAAGGCTTTTTGTGTTATGAAACCTTCACCATTCAACTCCTAGTGGTCGATAACCTACAATGACATTTCGGCAAAAGATTTCGTTCTAACTTAGCGAACTATTTTTCATGGAAAGTTTTTTCTTTGTATCAAAATTATGTGGACACCCTGAGGCAGATGAAGTTTTTGCATCGATTTCCTAACCTATTTTTACTTCTCCTTTCGTTACTTATTCTGGCATCATTCCTCTTCACGGCAAGCGTTTTTCTGAAGAAGACCGAGCACAGAAATGGGATCCCCATGCTTCTGAACCTTCCTATTGCGAAATAGCACGTCAACCAGTCATGCGTCCTCGTAGGTTTGGAGAGAAATCCGAAATCCTGATGCTAAGCTCTCGACCTTGACTGAGGGTTGTTCTCAATCGCTACTTGTTCAAAACAGGAAGAATAGCCTTAATTTTCTCAAATTATTCTTTTCGTACTACTCAACTTTACGCATAAATGATCTTCCCGATCTTAAAAAAGACCAATCGGTGTCTCATTCAATCAATTGAGCACACGACACGAAAGAAGATGAAGAAGGCTTTGTATATGAATGCGGGTTCAGGTTGGCAAGGTTGGAATTCCCACTCAAAAAAGGATCACAACATGATACTTTGAACCCACACAGACAGTGCTTTCGTGGAAATGGTAAAATTAGTATAAAAGACTTTCTGTGGAAATTTCTTTCATAGACCAACTCGACTGGCAGAAAGAAGCTTATTCCTTACTATTCGGGTGGGTCTTGAGGTTTTTGGAGAGACTTTGGTCGGACCCGCAGATGTGCTCGAAGAGACAATTCGGAAGATGTTCATCAAAGGTCTGGGGTGGTTCCAAAAGGAGGGGGACATTGAAGTTTGGCTTGCCAACATGTCAGGTAGACGACTAGGATTATAATGAGGTGCTTGAGTCCCGCTACAACCTTTTTCGAAAAGTCATGGTTGCAAATCACTTGTTTTGCAGGGGAGGTCCCTGACACCATTCCATTTGGAAAAATGCTAAACGCAACGGCTTTGATTGGCAAGTCGGCTAGCGTATTCCTCAGACTTCATCCTTATTGAAAACGTAGAGGTATCGTGGTTCGCGGTCTCTACGTCATTGAACAAAAGAGTAATATCACAAGTGACCTAACACGTCGGTGAAATTTGCTAGTTGGGAACAGATCTGCAAGACATGTATCCAGACCCCATTCATAGCATGCCAAACAGAATGGCTCAACTTACTAGAAACTTTGGTAGGCCTACCGATTTCAGATTTTGAAGATATTGCCGTTTTTCAAAAAGTGTCCACATAATTTTGATACAAAGAAAAAACTTTCCATGAAAAATAGTTCGCTAAGTTAGAACGAAATCTTTTGCCGAAAATATCATTGTAGGTTATCGACCACTAGGAGTTGAATGGTGGAGGTTTCATGACATAAAAGCCTTTAGCTGACCCCTGAGAATCGATTCCAGGGTGTCCACATACTTTTGGTACGCACTGTAGTAACGTATAGCATGAAAAGCTGAGTCAGAGCGAAACGCGCTGGCAGCATAACTTGTAGCGCACTTGCTCGACAAGGGAAAGATGCGGATTCTGCAGCATACTCGTAGCACAAAAGATGAAGCAATGAAAGAAAAATAAAACTGAGAGGTTCGATTTCGGATTGGAAGGAGAGAGTCGCATAGTATCTTTGGATGAGATGTATAAACCAAATTAGCCACGGTTTCTGTGGTGATATTGCGGCATGATATGTAGAAAAACATAAAAAATCTGCCATCAAAATAAATCCT